ATGTCATCCAGGAAAAAACTAATCTACTTAGCTCATTGGTGGATGGATGTTCAGGGCTATTATGTTTCAGAGAGCTAGTCCTCTGTATATCCTATTATAGAGATATGAGATAAAGAGAGCAAATAATAAGAAAATGTGTCCCAGAAAGCGGCCCTTGGCTGTAAGTGACCTGCTGTTCAGCTGGATATCCATGACAGCGAACGGCTGTCTCATGAATTATTAAACAAAGGGAGGGAATGCAAACAGTAAAGGTGGAGCAAGAGCTTTATTTCCTTGTGTGTATTAAGGAAGTGTGACTTCTTTTTGGTTTCGCTTTTCTTGCCCCCACCTCCTTAACTGTCCATATTTCATACGCCGTCACGCTGCTCCAGGAAATTTTAACAATTGAAATTTCAAGAAGAGAAAGACAAGCTCAGACTCGCCCAGACACTTGTATGTCTGTAAGCACCACCATGGTTTCCTATGTGAAAATAGGACCCACCACCCCCTGACAGAGGGGCCATACCTCTGTCACAGCTTCACCCATCATGCTATGTTCAACTGATAAGTTATTTACAGAAACAATGAGAGGGGAAGGACACAGTGCTACATGTGTGTGCCTTCAAATAATGTGTACGTGACTGCGTTGCACGACCATGACACCACAAACCATGTGACAGACAACTGAAACACTAAGCAATAGCTGGAATTAGACATAAAAATGTGGTTTTCTTAAAATCGTTGTTTTTACACTTAACTCACAATATATTAAATATATTAAACTGTGTGATGGAACCTCTCAGACAGGGTAAAGAACAAATAGTTTGTGTGTTTTATGATAAAGGTAAGGCTGTGGAGATGGAGGGGTATAGTTTCCTTCTCCTAAAACAAATAATCACCTACTGTTTGGGATTTTATTGCACTCTTGTCGCCTGGAAACCAGCTCTATCCTATCAATTATAAACCTTTTATATAATTGAACTTTAAACACTTACTCTGATATGGGGAATGTTTTAGCTATCAAAGGATGGCTCTTTCATTTGGCTAGTGTACTCTTTGATATCCATATATTAACCTCATATTTTAAAGACATTTCATAATTTTACTTAATATATATATACAGATACATTCACCGTCCACTTTATCAGGCATTATTAGTTCCTGATTCAGCTTTTCTTAAGCGTTGCCCTATATTTTCATGGGGTTTGGTTTACTTTTTTTTTAATAAGAGTTTTGGTTTATTTTGACATATGTAAGTCATTTATGTGCTGCAACTTTTTCAGCCACAGATCCATCTCTAGTTCGACCACCTCCCTGCAGTACTCTATAGGATTTGATCCGCTGACCTTGAAAGGCCATTAGAGCACAGACATATCTTACATTTTTCAGCTGCTGACAGAGGTTTGGTCATAAAAAATCCCAGAAGAGCCTCAGTTTCTTAGATACTCAGATCACTTCGTCAGCTGTAAACACCCACGCTACGTTCACAGCTGCTTAAATTTGCTGCTTTGTATGTGTGGATAAGCAGGTTTATCAATAAAATGCCTGCTGGGAGTACATTTTATGACTCCCCTAAAGCTAATTTTGTTTTGTCTCCACTCTTTCATTTTTCATAAAAAATAAAAATAAAAAAAAAATAAAAAAACATCTGCGCCCCCTGGTGTTGATAAACGAACCATACATAAAAAAAAAAAAAAAAAAAAAACTTGCATCATTCTTTTATCTAAATCTGGTCATTTCCAATCTTTAATTGTTGAATTTAAGATTAATGGTTAGGTTAATGACTAATTTTAGCACTAAAGCTTTGCTAAAAGTTATATGTTATTTTTCCGTCACAGGTATAGTTACATAAAATAAAACAAATTTGAGAATACGACAAAGACGTTATACACACACACATATATATATATATACATATATATATATATATATATATATATATATATATATATATATATATATATATATATATATATATATATATATATATATATATATATATATATATATATATATATATATATATATATATATATTCTGGTTAAACAAAGTGGTCTTAACATGAAATGTTTCTTAAATCCAATCATTAGTTGTTTATCTATTATGATAACTGTAAAGTATTTGGGGTAACTTGAAACGGTCCCTTGCATCAAGAAGGATACATTTTTTTCGATTAGGGGCAACCTTTATTTGCATCAAATTTATCAAAATGGGAGGGTTTTAAGTATCTTTTAAAATCAGTTCAATGCTAAATTACTTTATTAATCCCCAAGCTAAATGAAATATGTAATGGCGAAAAAATGTCATACCATGGTGACTGAGATTTAAGTCCAGACCTTAATTAGGCCAGTTTTGAACCATACATTTGCTTTCCTTTTGTTTGAACCGTCCAAAGCTGGATCTGAAGATGGATCATTATCATAAGGAAAATGATCCATCCTTATGTCTAAAGGTCTTAGAGGTTATCACCATGCTACTTAGGGGTGGGTATTGCCAAAGAAGTCACGATTCGATGCGAATCACGATTCACAGGCCACGATGCGATTCTATCACGATGCATCATGATACTTGAATTATCGCGATGCATTGCAATATTTTCTCCTCCATGTTTTGTTTTTGAATGACTCAGCACAGTATCCCGCAGCCGGAAATGCTTGTGAGTCAATGCAGCGTGCATCAACACATTTGCAGCGACATCTACAGGACTGGAAGTTGTATTACACTTGTTTTTGGCTGATGTTCGCCAACCATTCATGCAATTTTATTTATTCATTTTTTTTAATTAATAATCGATTCTTGGCATCAAGAATCGATGCAGTAGATCACGAAAATTAGAATCACGATGCATCATCATCGCGATTATTTTGCACACCCCTAATGCTACTGTAAGGATATATTTGATATTTGTTATATAATGCCCAGTGGCGTTTCCTTTAAAATGTTTTTCTCCCAATTTCTCTGTTGGCAAGTAATAAGCACTGATCTTGTCTGAGACAGGCGGCAGTGCTGTCAGTGTTCTTTTTTTGCTCTTGGATGGAAACTTTGGAGATGTGTAAGTGCAATGATTTCCCTACTCCTCTACATTTTTTTCTATTGATAATGGTTCCTACTGTGATTTTATGGAGTCTCAAACCAATAGAAAATAACTTTTTGCAGCTCTTTACAGATTGACATTTTCAATTACTATTTCTCTCATGCTCTTTAATCTCAGCTTGGGGTCTGATGTGTTGTTTATCAGGATATTATAGCCTACTCCATGATGTCACACAGGTAGCATTTAAGTCATTTTCTGATCCTACAGGTCTTGCAGAGCCTCTGCTTGGGTGTGGCGACTGGGAATGCTCTCACCTTTTTAAAAAATGTGGCTATCTTCTTAATTGGTAATTTAACAGGTTTACCACAATGCAAGTTATCCCTAGCCAGAGTAAAAAATGGAGGTTTATTGGATGGCAGTTAAGAGATTTTGCAGGGAGCTGAATGAAAGTTTCCATTTGAATGGGAAGGACCATTTTGAATAGCTGCTAATGTAAATTAAGCAGTTTGAAAAAACTGAATTGTGAATTGAGTTAATCTTGGTCTGACGCCACTCATGAATTTTCCAGAGACAGTATTTAAAGCAGCCATCTGGGCCCCTTACATACACTGCCTTCCATCCTATTCCTCATCATCTCGCTCTCTTCTTTCTTGTAGACGATTTCATAGCTGCATCTCCGGTCGAGTTTGTTATCCAGGTGAAGACTGAAGTATTATAGTATAAGCCTGTGGTAGGAACTTTAACTAAGTGGACAGAGGATATGCTACAGGTCTGCTTAGACTGTATGTGTTAGATTGATTTTCAACAGCCTGCCCCCACAGACCCAAATACCCTCAATTAACCTGTGACATCATACAACCCTCAGAGTGTGGTAACCCCCAAATAAACTGACAACAGCCTCTCACTCCCTGCTAAAAGGGCCAGCCCCTCACCTTTGACCCCATGTCTGCACTAAAGCTCTGTGAGGAGGCGTGTTTGCTCCAACAGCATCGGACTCAGTACTGTTCAACTGGCTGCCATGTTAACTCAGTTCAGCAAGTCGTTGAGTCTTTGTCAGGTTGTACCCTTAAAATGAGTACAGGTCTGATGAACAGATTTTGGTCTTATTTGAATCCTTTGAGAAACCCAACCATCTGAAGGACTTTCCAGGCTTCCTCACTGAACCTTCTGCAGTTTGTTTGAAAGGCAAACCGGTCAGTAGACTGTGTGGTCAAGATAAGACTACACATCTTGCATCAGTTTGATTACTCCATTAAGAAGTCAGTTTGTGGACTTCAGCTTCAGAGACCTTTGACAGGAAGCTTCACCAGCTCACAGTACTGGCTGATTATCCAAATTTCAACAATGAGCCGATTCTGATATTATATTTAATGATCTGAAACATCCTACCTTGTTGCTTGATATAACTTTGTGAGAAGAATCACAACAGATGGACAAAAAAAAACAACTTTAAACTTTATTTAAAACAAAACACTGGTGCAGTCATTTTATACTTTCAGAGATCATTCTCCTCATTTATCCAGAAAACACCGTAACTGGCCAACATCAACTCTGAAAAATCAAAACCTTAAAATTCAGAGCTTTAGACTCATCTTTATACTGTCTGTTAATAATATCGGTTTTATTGATATTTAGCACTTTGTTTCTTGTAGCAGTACAATCACTAAAATATCAAGTTATACAAGTGTTGGAGCCACCATCATTGTTTTAAGGATGATTGTTTTTCTTTACAGAAACAAATCAGATCTGCCTGGTAACAGACTTTGTGTGAACACATACCAGGTGTAATGTTAAATAAAAAAAGGCTAAATTAAACAAATGTGAGGCTGGTACTCTTTGTGCTCATGATAAGTTAAGCTTACGTGCACTGTGGCCAGTTACAAAATCAAATCTAAAGTGCTGATCTCTTTTTATTATTGAAATCACAGTATCCAGCTTCAACACACTGAATAACACTTCCGTATCTCATCAGTTGAAATAAAACAAACCCTTTAATGCAAAGAAAGTCACCTGTTGCGGTAGGCTTTAATGGTGAATTAAGATCAAGTTTTCAGATTTTTTTTTTTCAGCATTGAAGGTCAAATTCCACCCAATAAGAGCTATGCAAGCACAAGGGCATCAAGTCCCCAGGGGCTGCAGCTCTCCTTTAATTAGAAACGTGCATCTGTTGTCGTTTCAATGACAGATTTGGCACCGCCCTTGGTTTCCACCTACGTCTGTACTCTCCAGCTCTTACTGCTGCAACCGAGGCATCCAGGCCCCTGCGTATCCGCTCATCTCTGCCTCCACTGGAATGAACAGCCTGTGTCGGCGTGAGGAGGATTCTCAGACACTGGGCTGTTGACACTGTGCGCAGCTACGTACTGTCCTCTGTCTGTGAGTCTGGACCTGCACCGTGCATCTGGTGAGGCCGTACGTGTGAAGCAGCAGGTGGCGGGCCTTGGCCTGGACGTCTTCCCAGTTGTTGGCACTAGAGGGAGCTGTGGAGACAGAGAGGTATAAGATTACAAACTAGCTCAGGATTTATACAGTCTTATAATGACTCTTGGTTAAAATTAATACACTTTATTTGGAGCATTTCCACACCAAAAAAATATCAAAAAGAAATTCTACACTTTTGAACACTGCATTTAACCTCTATTACTAGAGTAAAAGAATTAAATAATCTTTAACCTAGTAATCGTTAAATGAAGTATAGAATCTGTAAAATATGCTTTTAGCTGACAGAGCAACTTGCTTAGATGAGTAATTATACCCAAATTAAAAAACATTTTGCATTTAATATAAAAAAAACCTTTCATACGATGAAATTGCAGTATGTTGACGTGTGCCAGCGTGTTTCAGCCTGATTCAGCGTGCTCATAACAACATATGCCAGAGTTTTTGCCGGATTTTTCATGTCAGGCATATGCTGGCTAAATCGTAAAGGTGTGACACAGGGCTTAAGGAAAGAGACAGGAACAAGGAAAAGTGTGCAGTATGCTTCCTATCAGCAGTTCTTTACCATAGAGAGCTTCTGATATTCCTTTCCACCATTAGCTTTACAGATGCCCACGATTGTGTGGCAGCTCATCTCAGGGAGTTTAACAAAATAAATAAATATATATATATATATATATATATATAAATATATATATATATATATATTAGTGCTGTCAATCGATTAAATTTTTTAATCGCGATTAATCGCATAAATGCCTGAGTTAACTCGCGATTAATCGCACTTTAATCGCACATTTTTTTCCTGATTGAAAATCATTTAAATACTCTCGATGACATACAAAAAAATACATACAGGCTAGGTTTGTGCCAATGTTCTTTTTTTAAAATGAAAACAGGTCACAGATACTGATTTATGCCATAGAAACATATGGCAAGAAGATGGGGAGGCATGTAGCAAAAAATAACAAATATGTAGGCAAAAAAAAGGCCCTGAAAACAGGCTGATGTAAAAGACAGTCTTTACAGTTAATACAGTCTTTTGAACAAAGACAAGCATTTTACCCTACTGCTATAAAATTTAGTAGAGTTAACATTAGATGTTAATTAACCAAGGTAATAATGAACAATTTTCAATCAATACATCCAAATCAATAGACCGACATCACTAGATGAAGGTAGTCTATGCTCTCTAGAAAGTTACTTTTCAGCCTCTTAACAAAAATGAGAACACACACACACCCACTCACCCACACACAGACACACCCACCCACACACACACACACGCGATACCGACCTGTTGCGTACACAGACGGCAAGAGTGCTGCTACGAGATTCCATTTCACCTCAGTAATCAGTTTTCTCAGCGTATTTCAGGTTGCTACTACACTCAACTTGTTTGTTGGTGGTGGGGCTTAAAGAAAAGGCACTAGCGTCACCCAGTGTATGAGCGTCTTTTTCCCTTGAGGAGCTCCGCTCTAGAAGCCTATGAGAAATGCATAGACTGGGGGAAAATAGCCCCGCCTTCCCGCAGGCTGCAGCGGGATGTACTTGGAAAAATTGTACCATAAAACCACATAGCGTTAATCTCACGTTAAAAAAATTATCGCCGTTAAAATGGCCTCGCGTTAACGCGTTAATAACGCGATAATTTTGACAGCACTAATATATATATATATATATATATATATATATATATATATATATATATATATATATATATATATATATATATATATATATATATATATATATATATATATATATATATATATTATTCTGTGATTATTCTTTAAAGTCCAGAAAGCTTAAGGCTGATCCTTTCCTACCCAAAACAGTGGTCTTACTTTTGACTCAGTTAAAGGAGAAAGGATAGGAGCTCTAATCTGAGGTATTCAGAAGGAGAGAGATAATAAAATGGTCTCAATGAGAGATTTCAGGAAAATATGCTGGTTAAAAAGAACACATAATTCCCAAAAATCATCAGAAAGACATGAAAGACTTTGAGGAAAATATTCCTGTTAAGATGGAACAAAAACAGCTTTTTGTTCTGACTTGAACAGATAATGTGTTAGCTGTTCAAGTCAGACTCTAAATGGCTCAAAAAACTCAATGAATGTTTTGAAACGGTTTCCTGCTTAAATAAAACCTTTCAGCACAGCTGAACTAAAACGTCCCTAAAGAGAAGAGTAGCCAAGTAATCCTGTATATTTTCATTTAATTTTTCTTAACATAACCCCAGGCTGCTTTGAATTACTTTTACCTCGCAAAATATAAAAAGGGATCTGCATTTGAAAATTCTATTTTTATTTTACCATGTAATCGTTGTCTGACAATAGGGACTTCTTTAATGATCTATGCTGTACATGTGTCAAAGAAACCCTAACACATCTATGAGGGGGAAATAAATGTTAACAATTCAGTTTTTTCTCCATCAGCCTAGAACTGGAAAAGAAAAAAAGAAAGAAAAAAAAAACACTCACGCACAGATCCAATTTGAAACCTGCAGCAGCTGAAGTGAATCATCACCTTAGGCGTGAAAATAATCCAGGTCTCTAAAAACTAGCTCTTTTTCTATTAATCTATTCTGTCACTTTCAGCATCCATTCATATCCACTATACTACTCCAAAGACAAGTCTGTGCATTAAATGATCAAAATGTGTTTAAATATCTCACACGGATACTCATCATCTAGCTTGTTCTTTATGTTTCACCAATGAACCAAAAACGTGTGAATGTCAGACATGGAGTGACAGTGCAGTAAAATGGCATCAGAGATGGAGGGACAGCTCCCTCTAGTGTACAATCTGCAGTTTGCTCCCTAAAAGTCAGCTGGGAAACTCTTCAATAAAGTTCCTTCAAATTGTAAAGTGTGTCTCTGCTTCTATGAAGTTGGAGTTTGCACACATTTAGACTGAGGACCTGCAGAGTTTTGCTAACTTTGATAAAAGCACATATCCGTACATTGAGCACAATTCTTCCAGGGAAATGAAGAGGTAAGTCATCCCTACATCTCCTGACCTTATTACAGAATAATTGAGGCTACTCACTGAGCTGCAGATGCAGCAGAGCTGCAGTCTTGTCAGCCGTCAGCGCCCAGACATTCAGCTCGTCGACAGATTGGACATCCTCCATCTTAAGGAGGTCCTCCTTGATTCTCTGAGTGTCCAAGTGTCTGGGAACACCTGCAAGGCAGGATAGAAACATCACACAGAGCTCTCGCTGTGATAGAGTCTCAAATAAAAAAATTAAGGGTACAGGACTTACCTTCAAGTACAATGATTATTGTGTCTCGAATGATGCGGACAGTGGTGAAGAGCACCAGAACTGAGAAAATGTAAGTGCAGATGGGATCTGCCAACTTTAGCTCCGGCTGTGAAGTCAGAGAATTTCACTCAGTAATGTCGGCAGTTTAAATGCAGGTAGAATAAGAATATAAGCAAGCATTTAATTCATGTCATTCATATGTAAAAAGTATGTTAATGTCACAGAGAGAGATATAAACTTAAAGTAAAATTTTTATCCTATAATGACAGCCGTTTCTGGCTAATTTTTAAAACTGCAATGATTTAAACTAAAGTCCAAGGCAAGTTACAGGAAACATCTACCGGTAATAAGGCAGCAAACACTGAAGTGGAAAAGAAAAAAGCAAGGATGAGTTTAGTCTCAAGACAAAAGTAGAAGAAGCACAAAACCGTTCCCCAACAGGACAAGAATCCTACACTATAAGAAGAGTGACCATCTCCATCTGCACCTCCATCAACCATACATCCCCACCAGTCAACACACCCCTGGAACGGAAGTGACCAACAAGGCTTCAGGAATTACCATCTCTGACCATCTGCAGCAAGAATGTGCTGAACAGAATGAAACAAAACACATCTCAGGAATGTGTGTTGTGCTTTAAAATGGATTTCAGAAAAAAAGTTTTTTTCAAAAACTTTTTTTAAATGGTGTTACGTGAATGAATCATTTTAAAGAAACTAACGTGCTAAAACCAGTTTTAGCTGACAATTGAAAATGGTATTATGCCTGCAGACATGTCACAGCTTGTTTCAGTTCGGCTTCATCAACCACATTGCTGCTGGTATGCTCTTTGAGCAATGTGTAAACAGAAACAGATGGATGTACAAAGAGCCACCGCCGATACAAACTGGGGCAACCCACTGTCACTGCATGAATGATGGATTGCACCATATTGTTGGAAATAGGCTAATGTTTTTGTGCATGCTCAGATTTCTTATTTTTTCATCTATCAAGTTTGCATAAAAAGATTTGTCAGAGGATCATTTGCTACGGGGAAAAAAAAGATTTTTGAAGACTTTCAGTACCTTGAACCGGACTATGTAAGCAGCTATGAGAACCCCGACGCTCTGGAGGAGATCCCCTAAAGCATGGATGAAGGCTGCCCTTACGGCCAGGCTCCCGTGAGGCCTCTGCTGACCCGACCCAGCCTGTGGACCTGAGGGAGCCGCCGGGCCATGAGAGTGACCGTGACCATGTGAGTGGAGTTGACCGCCTTGGTTCAGCAAAAATCCCATTCTGAAAGGACAGAAAACATTCAGATACCGACACTAAAAAACACGCATTTGTCTAAATCGTTAGAGCAGCAATCAGCTGTAGACTTTAGGTAAACATTAACTTCAGTCTGCAGATTAAAACTAAATAAAGGCCGTACTTTGATCTGAACCTATACATTTTCTACTGATGTTTTCCTGACAGGTTGCTTTATATTCTATAGCTTTCTTATATAAAAACAGGCCAAACTTACATAACATTAACAGCCACCCCTACAGCTGCAGTGATGAGCATGACGTCCCCGTCTATATTGAAGTCCTGATGTACAGTCCTCTGGACGGCTTCGTAAAGCAGTATACCCGTCAGGATGTAGATGAGCACCACACTGAGGACTGCTGACACCACCTCTACAAACAACAAGTCACAATATGTCGTCAATTCCAAAACCGTGTTGAAAAGCTGAGGAAAAATTAAAAAAGAACAACTATGCCACGCTATACTTCTACATTAAATAATACACAAATACATTTACAATAATTAAAATCCAAACTGAAAAACCACTTCTTTTCTGAAACTACTCTGTCCAGCCTAACTTGATGAAACATTTAGTAATATCAATAGTACTAATACACTAAATATTAATTCTCTTGATCAAATTGTTTTGTATATTTCTTATCAGATATTTTTGTTCAGCATAACGGGGGGGGGAAGAAAATGCCATTGTACAACAAGGAAAAGTAGAAGTTACCTGAATCAACATGAGAACAGTTTGCCTGCAATTTCACTTTGAAAAAGCTCAGCTTCACATTTCTACAGAAATAATTTGTTTTTTTATCGTCCCATGGTTATATTTAAATAAAGAGATCCAACTACAAGAGGAACATAGAAACCAATGACTGTGCAGTGGATGTTAACAGTCAAGTGTTTAAACCTTTTGTTTTATGATTTTAACTACAGGGAAATAGGTTCAAAGTACAACATTTTGTTTTTTATATGTTTTTCATTATTCTGTTTCTATACCTTTAAAAGTTTTAAGTACTAAAGCTTGCAATAAAGGGGGTATAGACAACGAAAGTGACTATGAATTCAAATGAAGATTAATCTTTTAATTACTTCTTTATAAACACATCTTTATGGTGTTTACTGGCCCAAATGCATTACGACCAGGCATTGGCTGTCTTTGTTTTAGGAGCATTAAAAATGTTATGTTCAGTGATCCGTGTCTCAGAGATAAGATCTGCTTCGAGTACAGTCCTGTAGTAAGTAAACAAACTCAACGAAGAGATAAATTAACATAAAAATATCCCACATCAAACGACTTTCTGCACAGAGCACAGATTGTGCAGCTAAAAAAGGAAGGGAAAAAAAAAAAGGCTTCTGCAACTTACCTAGGCGATGCAGTCCGAAGGTGAATCTCTTGGTGGGCGGTTTGGTGGAAAGCCACAAGGCAAGCAGAGAAAACAAGATACCAACCACATCTGCTAGCATGTGCACAGCATCAGTCATTATGGCTAGACTGTTAGACACATAACCCCCTGGAAAACAGTATGAAAAACCAGAGTAAACAAAGTGAAATATGTCGACTATCAGATCAAGCTGGGAATTTGTTTTAAAGGGTTTAATGATAACATCCCCAAAGAAACTAAAATCATCAAGATATAAAAAGCGATTTAAATAGTTTCTTTTTAAGTTTAGATTTTTTTAAGAAGCTCCGATCTACAGCTAGCAAAAGTCAGTAACTTCAGTAGTTTTTGTTCCATATTGGTTCTCTATATAAAGTAGTAGTTTCAACTGGAAATGTGGAAGTGACATCAATTAGTCTCACCCTTGGTGACACAACCTGCAATGTTATATGGCTCCTAAATAGTTGTATTTTTTTTTTAATGGCAGATATTGCTACGGTGGTCAGACTTTAAATAACGACTCTACAAAACAATGGCATGGAAATTAAGGATGAGCGGCAGGAATGAAGGATAGATGACAGGGTTTACCTGGGGGAAAGAGATAGGAAGTAAGGAAGCATGGGAGTAGTGGAATGAAAGAGAAATTTAACAACTAGGACACATGTAAGGAAAGCAAAAAAGAAAGGAAGGGGGGAAAAGGGAAAGAGTGAAGGACACAAAAAGAAAAGGAGGAAAGAACTGGAGACAAAAAAGCACATCTGGAGGAAGGAAATGATGAAGAGAAGGACAAAAGCATAGAAGGAAGTGAAGATGGTAGGGGGATGAGAGCCAAGATGATGGAAGCATACAATGAAATGAGGAAAACAGGGAGGAAGCAAAAAGGAATAAAGGATGAGAAAGAAATAAGTCTGGAAGCTAAGAAAGAACACAGAAAAGACAAGGAATTAAAAAAAACTGACACGTGGGGAAAAAAATGAAGTAGATTAAGAAACAAAATGAAAAAGAACGAGTGTAAAAGAAACAAAGGAGGAAGTACTTGAGAAGGAAAACTGGGGCAAATAAAGAGGATGGAAGAAATTAGAAGGAAAAAAAAGGGCATCCACATTGACAAAGGTTAAAAAGGTTCTCTAAACGCAAACATTTGTCCCAACTGGAATCAAATTTCTGACTTTTCCAGACTGTATATGAACCCTGACAAACCGAAACTCTAAAGTAAATCTTTAAACCTTAGTAGCTACAGTTAAACAAAACTGGCATAAAACATGTTACTATCTTATGCTGAGAGCGCATCAGTTTTGGTTTGAACAGGAAGTTAAACATGACAAATGCAGGGCATGAAATGACTGTCCTGCTCTTGTTTTTTTAAGGTTAATGTTTGATCAAAACAAAGCATTCTCTTCTTGTTTAAGGGAAACTGTCCCAATTTGCTTGTCGGTTTTATTCACAGCTACGAACATGTGATTCATTTTTAAGGTGGATTATAAGAGATTAATCTCTTTGGCAGTCCTGTTTAAACAATTTAAGGGAGAATCCTTTCAGTGTTCCTCTGGGTTTAGTTCGCTGGAATAATAAGTCACTGTTTGAACAGCTGCAATAAAAAAAAAAAAAAGAAACAAACAAATGAACTCCAGGCTGCCAGATCACAAATATTAGATAACCACTTCAAATGATTTCAGCAGGCAGCAGGAAAAATAAGAAACATCTAACAGAAATGTGTCACCATTTCCATCCTGTGTTTTGCTGTTACAGTCCCAGCCTGATTCTCATTTCTTCACTGCTTTAGAAGTAGTGGGACAACTCAATTATTTCTGTGGAGGAATATGAGTTCTCCAGGACTTTTAAAACTTTTTTTTTCAGTTCTTTGGAGCAATACTCGAAAATGAAGCAAAACTTTCAATAGCACAACTACCAATGAAAAGTAAATACTGAAGTCTTCCAACAATATGCTTTTGGTTTCTCCCCTTATTCAGCACATAATACATCATTTAAATTCAAAGTATTGTTTTAAAACTCAAAATTCTGGGCAGTTTGGTTATTATGACAGTCAGCAACAGTATTCAGTCCAACCAACCAAGTTAGTAAAATATAAACAGGAGGAATTTCTGTACTATTTCTCCACTAAGAGTATTTTAAGAAAAGAATAAAACTGTATTTTAATTCATGCTGCAATTAAAGACTATTTTGCAAATCGATTAATTTGTTGATTTTTTTTTTTTTTTTTGATTAATCAATTAACAATCGGATAGCCAAAGGTTTGTTAAAGATTTTTTTTGCGAAACTAAACCAGATGAAACAAACTTTTCCACTTGAGGAGTTCTGGATAGGGTATATTGACAAACTAAAAATATTTCAAACTTAAATGCAAAATGTTTACATAATTTTATTTTACAGTTTTGGTTAATGGGTGCTCTAAGTGGGTCACTCTGTCAGCTAAAGGCACATTTTAGAGTCTATACTCCAGTTAATGATCAAACGATTACTATATTAGTTGACGATTATTTCAATAATCTAGTAATCCAATTGTTTGAGCCCTAATTTTTATGTATTTTGAAGCATTATTTAAGTAAAAATAATTTTAAATAGTATTACTGTTTTTTTTTATTTAACATACTTTATTATTGAGAATATTTTCAGCATGTATGCAATTTTGTAAGCAAAAAAAAATACTTTGGCAAAATGTTTAAATACCTATACGAGTACTAGAAGCACATGCAGTATCCCCAGCTTACATTTAGTTCTTTAACTAAACCAACAATGCCCGCTGCAGGATTCTTTATGTTTATATGATGCTTACAGGCACAAGTTATGCTTATATAACTGGAAACAACAAGAATAGTTGATGCATCTGCTTTAAAACAGAGTGTCCTGTTTCACAGATCTACTAGCTAATAAGGAAGGGAGGGGCAGTACAAGCATTAGCAAATATAATTCATAATTTGAGTCCAAACTGCTTGCATACAGTATATTAAGTTAACAATCTAAATGTTAAATAAACTTTGGGGAAGCAGTTTGAATGATTTGTAAGAAAATGTGATGGAAATAAAGAGTTAATTGGTTTAAGGAACAAATTAAATGGCAATGTAGGCTGCATTGTTTGACATAATCAGACAGAAATGTGGGTTTTAATGTTTTTACCTATAATTTCCCCTGTCATGAACAGGAAATACAACACAGCTGCAATGATAAGCCTCTTCATCACCCTCCTGTGTTTGATCCTCTCCCTCTTCTTCGTACAGTTATCACAGGGGTCCATGTTCAAACCCGGGCTGCCCAGGCTGGAGGAGTCCAACAGGGAGTCATCATCATCCTGACCGCCTACATCTGGAGGGACCACCACGGTGCTCACCGCCACCCCGTTGGACGGAGCCCCGGCAGAGTAATCGGACATCTCTCCGGAGACGACCACCTTCAGTTTGTTAAATTTGGGGCCCTCGTCATCTTCCACCAGGTCATCAGAAAAGTCAAACGGAGCGGTGTCGTTCAGGTCCCAGCCGCTGCGATCCCTCCTGAAGGCGGACCGAACCTTACCGAAGAGCTTTCCACCGGACATGTTTAATAATCACCGGGGTTTCGATCACTCACATCTTTATAACGGACCGCGATGGTAAGACTGCATTTTTACTCCGACCTGTCCAGAAGAAAAAGTGAAGTTAAACACCAGCTGAAAGGCGTTTTAAATGTGTACAACTCGGCAGTTCGAAGAAAATACATAGCTGAATCAGATAAACTTAACCAGCAATCATTTTTACATCTTTATTGTTTCCACATTATCCTAGAAAGTCCATTAGCCCTCATAAAAAAAACAAGAGAGCTGGTCAAACAGTAACAAGCTAGCGAGCACAGGTTAGCTTTCCTGTCAGTTTCAGACTAAAAGGCATCTCCTCTAAAGTGACCGCTAGTTAAAATAAACAAACAAACAAATGAGAAAAGCTCACCGATAGAACTGCTTTCAGTTGTACAAACTTATTATTCTGCTGCCAAAGTGAAAGCTGTCATGTTCAGCAAACATCCGAGTCTTGACACCACCTTAGCTCCGCGCGAGGACCCGCAGGTTTGCTTCTATGCAGTTGATCAACGTCATGGGACTCTCGACTGTTTTTCTGGGATCCACATCAGTTGGCTCAGATCGTCAGAGTCGTTCTGCAGGGCCGAGTTGCTCTGCAGATTTCCACCAGAGTGGATTGTTTTTATTATTCATATGTGCTTGTTAAACCCTAATATTACCTACCTGTTAAGTGTAAAGACTAATGTTTGTTTGTTGAACTGTATATAAAGTGTATATATATATAGTAATTTTGACACGGTACATATAGATGTATATAGTATGCATAGATATATATACTATATATATAGTATAGATTAACCCTGATTAGTACAAGTACTGACTAAAATAATTTATTTAGTTAAAATGTAAAAAGTAGAGGTTTTACATTGTAACCTTTTCATTTGAATTATACAAAAATAAACAAATTAATTCCTAAAAAAAAAAAGAAAGCATAGAAAAATGATTTGTTTCCCTCTTTTACTCGCTGTATTGGTAAAAAAAAAAAACACAAAAAATACTGTCTTTCCTGTCCACTTCTGTTCTAAATTAAAATTTTACACAGGATAATGTAGACTGAACTGAACATATAGGTTCTGCATGACCACTTTGATATTTTTAAAGCTTTGGTATTAACAGCATAACATTAGAAAAAATAGCATTATATTACAGAAAATCATTATAGAAAACTTGAAACATAATAAACACATACATTTAAACCCCAATGAATGGGGAGTGTCTTGGATCTCAGAATCTGATCCAGTTCCAGACCCCTATGTTCGTCCACTGTCAATGTTTTTCTATAAACAAACTGTGCTCAACTGAACCAATTCTCTTTATGTTCTTGCTTACGCTCTGCTATGTTGCAACTGTTGCGCCATGTCCTCATCACCATGTATGGATGTAACAAGCCAGTTTTAAAAAAGCAGGGGAAAAAAAGGACAGATAATTGTGTTCTAATAAAGTAAGTAAACGTAAATCCACACGCAAATAAATATTCAAGTAAAGTGCAGATACTGAAAAACCTACTGAAGTACTTAAATAAGTATCTCTATTAAGACTTCGACTTAGGCAACTTTTATTGTCATTTTGTATATACAGATCCTATAAAAAAATTGTGTTTTGTACAGCTTTCATGACATTTCCATTTCTCAAAGTGCTGCAGTGATCAAATGTAAACAGTGTGGGAGGGGGAAAAAATGTGCAAAAAACACATGATATGGAAGTTCGGAGCATTAAATATATATGGTGCAAAAGGCAGGGTTTTGGTTTGGTGTTATCTGATGCAGAGTCTGTGACATGATTTAGAGTTTTCTCAACTGTTCAGCTGTTTTATGGTGGTGGGGAAGAAGCTGTTGCAGAACCTGCTTCACCTGCATCGAATGCTGTGAAGCCTCTTCCCAGAGGGAAGCAGGAAGAACAGTCCATGGTGGGGGTGTCAGGGGTCAATGATTGCGCTAGGGACACGCAGCTCTGGGATGAAATGTCTTTAATGAAGCTCCACCTCCTCTCTGTAGTCCAGGTCGTTGTCTTCACTGATGAGGCCCACCACCGTGGTGCCCTCTGCAAACTTCACTATGTCATTGGTGGTGAAACTGGGGACGCAGTCATGTGTCATCAGGGTGAACAGCAGGGGGCTCAGGACGCAGCCCTGAGGGGAGTCTGTCCTTAGACTGATGACATCAGAGGCGTTCTGTCCGACCCGAACTGATTGAGGTCTGTTGGTGAGGAAGTCTAACAGCCAATTTTGAAGGGGTGTATTGAAGTTGACCTGTACCAGTTTGCCCATCAGATGCTGTGGGATGATGGTGTTGAAAGCTGAACTGAAGTCCAGGAACAGTATCCGCACATGGATGTTCTTCTCCTCCATGTGTGCTAGGCTCACGTGAAGAGCAGAGGAGTTCTTTAACCGGCCTTCACTTTATCATGATTAGAGTCAGTGCGGCAGGCCGGTAGTTATTTACTGAGGTGACCTGAGGTTTATTTGGGGCCGAAATGATGGTGGCAGACTTGAAGCATGATGGCACTGTGGATTGGTCCAGGTGTAAGTTACACCTCTTATAGCATCTCACAAATGCTTGTGCTGTCTTCACCACCTATGCTGCATTTCCTGACCTGCAACGTGTAGTTAGTAAGATGAAGTACAACTCTTAAAGCATATCTAGATATATTTTTTTCATTATTATTATGATTGGTGTTTTAGTTGTTCTTTGTTGTTTTGGTATTATTATTATTTCAGTTTCTTACAAGTTATAACTGATTAATGATTACATTCTAATGCTATGGATAACAGTTAATAATTGAACTTTATTGATCTCACACTGGAGAAATTTAACTCTGCATTTAACCCATCCCCTTGAGGAGCAGTGGGCTGCTATTGTGCGACAGCCGAGGAGCAGTGTGGGGTTAGGGTCTTGCTTAGGGACCAGAGTGCAGGCTGTTTGGACTGAACTGGGTACATGCAACCTTCTCAACACACAAGCGCACTGCTCTAACCACTGGGCCAACACTCTCAACTCTATCTTCTTCATCTTAGAACATCTGCACTCATGGGGGTCTGGACAGGTACCTGTACCTGAAGACATAATCTGTTATATCTTCATGGACAGGTACCTGTTTTAGTATACTAAAAAAGTTCTAATGCTGATTGTGCTGGGACAGACATAGTCCTTTCAACACATTTCCTTTTAGCATTAAGGTTCTGTTTTTATTATAATTCAAAAATCAAGATTATTGTCATATTGAGATAGGATCATCCGTCAAATATTATTTTGAAAACTAATTAAAAAAATTTAAACTAGTGATTTTCATTTGAAATAAGTCTAAATATGTAGATCGTGATGGACTATCTACTAATAAACATGTATATATGTAATTTCTAAGGGAAAAAAAAAACGACATACTTATACCTAACTTTGTATTCTACATGTCTATATCATACACACAATCCCCCTCTCTATAATCAAATTCTATGACTTGATTTAGTTTTCTTTAAAAATCGAATAATTATTTGTATATGTTTACTCCCCAAATTCTTCCTCATAATATCTACTAAATTAATCTTTTCCTAAATACATTCAAACTCTCTCCTTGTATATCTTCTCTTGCTTTCATATTTATGATATTCCAGTATAACATGTTTTATTGTCACATTTGCCAGTAGTTTGCTTTGCCAGTAGTTTGCTTTTGAATTTTAAAAAGTATATAATTAAGTCCTCTATGCCCAAATCTAACCTTGTTATTACTCTTTCCTCCTTTCTATTTCGTCTTCCATTTCTTCTTTTTCCTACCATCTTCTGAATTTTATAAAACCATCTTCCTTTTTTTTCTTCATCCCACCTTTTCGGCCATTTTTTCATCAGTTTCTATTAGAAATATTTAATACATTTTTCAGAATAATAAATATGGGTTTGATGGTTGTATTTGTGTGGGTTCCAGCATATATTAGAGTAGAAGGAAATGAGAGGGCAGATAATATGGCAAAGAGGGCAATTCAAAATCCTATTAGTTTTACAGATAAAACTGATTATATTTTAAAGTTAATAATGCAGAGCTTGAATCTGAACAAATTACTGTTTTTAATGGTTTAATATCTTGTCCCCATTGTAAAGCTAATAATATTGCCAACATTTCCCCTGTGTAGAGTTGTTTCCGTTGGTTTTAATCGTTCCTATAAATGAGTTGGCCTATAGAGCCGAATCCTTCGCGTTAGCCTCCTTAAACGTGATCACGTGATGACGCAGAAGTCACATGACGCTGTCTCATGCTATAACAAATTGTAAATTTCCCTGTTTTTAATGTCCAATCTCCACAACACACAATCCAACCTACACTCGCCATTCAGCCGAAGTTTAAACAGGTAATTTATTGTCTCCAGTCATTCCGATTCACGGATCACTCATGGTTTATCGTGTTCCAGCCGTTTAAAGAGGCTCACAGTGAGCTAGCGAGTCTTCCTGGACACAAAGTCAGGAGACACTGCGTTTCTTTGTGACTCGTATGCAGGCGTTTAACTCGTTATTTCCATCAGATAAGAGTGTGGGATCCGACTACTGGGCGCCAAACAGAGAAACTGGGTCAACCGAGCAGCTCCAGATGGAGGTAGAGGGGATAGAAGACGAAGGACCTTCGTCCCAGAGTGAACTTCCAGGTATGATGGTTACTCTCCATTGTCCATCCCTCAGATCTCCTCCTGCAGGAGGACAGGGAATGGGCCAGGAAGCAAAAAAACAATGACGATTTAAGTAGCAATAAAAAATAGGCTTAATTTAAAACATGATTTGCAGTGTGTTTCTGTAAATCTAAAGAAGAAACCTTCAGGAAGACACCATAGCCGTTTTCAGGTAGCCATGTCTTTAGGTTGTCTTTCATGAAAGTAAAGGCAGGCACTAAACTAACCCGTATGTGAGATTCCAGGGCAGATTAAAGTCTAAGTGAGCTGCTTGTGTGCAAACAAATGCCTAACTGTTGCTCAAATCCATGCACAGTTTGCAGACTTTTTTTTTTTTTTTTGCTGTCAGCACAAAAATCAACCATCAGGAATCTAGTTAAGCCTAATGAAGCTCAGAAACATGCATTTAAGGCTCAGAGATGAAATACTTCATAAAATTATTTAACATGCAGTGGGTAGCACTGCTGCTTTGTGGCAAGAGATTCTGGGTTCGGTTTCCGGCCCGGGTTCTTTCTGCATGGAGTTTGCATGTTCTCCCTGCGCATGCGTGGGTTCTCTCCGGGTACTCCGGCTTCTTACCACAGTCCAAAAATATGACTGTTAGGTTAATTGGCTTCTCTAAATTCTCCTTAGGTGTGAGTGTGTGCATTAATTTGGTTGTTTGTCCTGTTTGTCTGTGTTGCCCTGCGATGGACTTGCGACCTGTCCAGGGTGTCCTCTGCCTCTCGCCCGTAGACAGTTGGAGATAGGCACCAGCACCTCTCACAAGAATTAATTTTTTTGTAAAAGATTCTCAGTAATATCAGTGCCTGCTATACTTATCTGTATCATTTTCCTTCAACTTAACAGTTTTTCGCCACTTTATGTCTGTGTTTTACTACCA